CATATTATGTGTTTATATATATTATGGATCTCTTTACTTTGCATGGCCTAGGAACTGTGGTTTCATTGCAAGAAAAAAAAGGAATTGTTTGGAGTGTATTTTCCTTGATGTAGTCAAGAGTGCTGCCTGTTACTTAGCCAGTGCTGCTTCCTAGATGCCCAGAAATAGTTCTGTTATCTTTTCTTGAATTCCAGAAATGAATGTTGATCCAATCTATATGTTCTCTTCTTTTTTAAAGCTGTGTATTCTTATCTTCCTCCTACACCTAACCTGTTATATAGACTGTCTTATTTTATTCCTTGCTCTTTGCATCTCATTTTATATGTTGGCTTTTCTATTTTGCCCCTCTTAAGATTCTGCTGTTCTATTTGTTAGATATTTCTATTTTTGTTTGGTGTATTTTTTCCTCCTATGACTACTTTCAGCTCAGTCACAATCAGATTTGGACAGTTTGGTTTTTTACTGTGCTTCCTTCAGAAAATCTAATTTTTTTTCCAATTTAATACGTATGGCATTCTAACACAATGCAAGGAGTTTTGTGGAGCTTCCTTTCTGAATGGTCCTCCTGTTCTGCTGTTCTGTCCTTTCCTAAGAGCCAGAAGGTTTTTTAGTAATTGCCATCACCCATCTTCTCCTTATCACTCATTTTCCTAAGAATGCTATTTAGATATGCTTTTCCATTACAGCTTTGAATTCACTTCATGCATCAGAATTCAGTGCATTCACTGCAATTTCTGCAGAGTTTGTCAGTGTTTTCCAAACTGACAGATATACAGCTAAACTGCTGTCGTGGTTTAACCCCAGCCAGCAGCCAAGAACCACACAGCTGCTCACACTCCCTCCTCCCCCTCTCCCCCCAGCCCGGAGGGATGGGGAGGAGAAAATAAAATATGTAGGTTGAGATAAGAACAGTTTAATAATTGAGAACAGAATGAGATAAAATGCTAATGGTAATAAAAAGAAGTGAAAGAAAAAGCAACAAAACCAGTGATGCACAATCCAGTTGCTCACCACCTGCACACTGATGCAGCCCTGTTGATGCAAGCCCCTGGATCAGCTCCCCTTCCCCTTATGTACTGGGCATGATGTTCTGTGGTGTGGAATATCCCTTTGGCTAGTTCAAGTCACCTGCCCTGGCTGTGCTGCATCCCAGTTTCTCCTGTACACTGCACTGTACCAGTTACTGAGAAGAAATTAACTCCATCCCAGCAGAAACCAGCATAATTGCTTGTTAAGATTTTTCATGCTATGGAGCCTTGACTTTTTCTCTAGATACAGCAGGCTACAAACTTAACATTGCCTTCTGGACCTCAGAGTGGATATTTATGTCCAGGTGACCTTCAGTCAGGGGCCATTTTATGAAGCAGGCACTTTGTTTTCACAGAATCACAGAATATGCAGAGTTAGAAGGAACACTCAAGGATCATCGAGACCAACTCTTGGCTCTGCACAGGACATCCCCAAGAATCACACTGTGTGCCTGAGAGCATTTTTGTCTCTCCTAGTACATAGAAACTAGTGCTTATGTAAGGAAGAAGAGAAAAACACCCTACCAGATTCTTTCCTCTGCTTGGAATTTGAAATAGCAAACCAATTTGTATTGTGATAGTTGGTTCTTTGCACTTTTTTTCTTTCTGTGATATCTTGGTTCATTGTTATATTGGTATATAAGCTACCATGTGATTAAACTTAGTCAAATGGTCATTTTTTTGCAGAATAGAGCTGGTTGTAAGCATGTGGAAGTTAGGAGATTTTGCAGCATAGGCCTTGAAATAAATGGGAACATTAAGTTTTGGACATGAAAGATTGGTGCAGAAGTTAAATATTTTCTGTCACTTAAATTTGGAGTATAAAACCTTCTAGAGGCTATATGAGTCAGAAAGTGGAGATGGCACAAAACTAATTTAGCAATGTAAGCATATAGTATTTCTTCAATTTCTTTCTCCTTACATCTGTGCTTCATACAGCAGGATCAGTAGCATACAGGATATGTACTGTGGGTGACTTCACATTTTGGGAATACCTTCTTTACTTCTGTATTCACAGCAATTAAGTCTATATGCACAGAAGTGGGGTTTTTTTGCTTTTGCCATCAACTGTAGTGATTTGTGGCAAGAACCCTGGATTTTACAGGTTTGTTGAAAAAGCTCTATAACATGTAATAATAAAATTGATGCTGTGTTCCCAAGTATAGTAAGTCTAACTTAGAGAACAAATTAGACTTACTTTATTCTGTTTCCGTGTTTATTTGGTATTTGAATATAGTATAGAGTTCTTTGCCAAGGTTCAGCTTTACACTCTTGTAAAGCATAAATTGATGCAGGTTCTGGTAGATTGGAAGTGGGAAGGGAAAGGACATTAAACAGTGGCTTAGAATAACTTGAGACTTTGCAATTCCTCAGAAGTTGGGAACATTCTGAGTTTAAATGCTGTATATCCTGAATCTGAAAAGTCATACTTAGGAAGATTTCTTACGTTCCTTTTTAACTCAGTAAACCCCCTGGTCAACACTTTCTAGCTTCATTCGTGGCCTATACAGAAGGCTGTTAAAGATCTGAAACCAAAATAGTTTTCTCCTCAAGAATTAATCCATGTGTTGTTTCCAAACATAATTTCCAGAGTACAGTTGTGTCAGTAGTATTGCATCAATGTACTGGAAATGGAGGGCAGTTACTCTTGACACCTCACAAACATGATCTTGGTAAATTCACCAATATATATTAATTGTTTAGTACAGGTGAAGATATAATGCCAATCTTCTTTCTGTTCTGTGTTGGCTTTTTACAGAGTTGAATGCTTCCCTGTGACAGGATGGCATTTTTCTCCTCAGTTTGTGTCCAGGGGCTCCTGTATTAGTGTCGTTAGCTTGCTGACTGTCCTTTGGTTAACTCGGTTTTCCTTTAGGAATACAAGAAATGTCTGGATTGATCAGACCATGAGTCTGTGAAGTCTTGTGTTTTGTCCCTGACAGTGGCAGGTGCTGTTTCAGGGAAGCTGTGCCACTTTGTGATCCATTCCCCCCTGTAACTACCCCAGGGCCTAGAACTCTCATGCAGGATGTTAGGAAGCACATCCCCTGCTTAATCTTTTTAGTGTCAATGGATTGATTTGCCCAGGCATTTGTATAATCTTATTTCTGAACCCATGGGTTTGTGTAGTGCAGGACAGTTGTGCATGGGAGTGATTCCAAAAGTGTAACCATATCTGGTTAATTGCTGGTTCCTTGAACCTTTCAGAATTAAATGTCTCAGTGTTCAAATAGTAATTTTTCCATCCACAAACTGTAGGACAGAAGAAGGGGAGCTGGGCCAATAGGTGTGTTGCAGTAGAATTGCACTTCCTACTACTACTACTACTTCTTTTTTCCTTTCTAATCAACTGATTCAGTCTCAGTGGATAGTTAGTGATGTTTTTGCTGGAAGAGGAGACAAGGTAGGAAAGTGTGTTTATGGGATAAGAAAAGCTGATTGTTTTGGGTTGGGATTTTATTTTTCTACATATTTCAAGCGTGCTTCTTCCTGGATTTGAATTTAAGAAGTTTGTTGGGAACAGCTTCAGCTGTGTTTGAAGGACAGAAACATTCACTGCAGTACCTGCCTTGGGAATGGCTCAAAAGCTGTTCTCTGGCATCAGTACCTTCTTCCCTGCCCTTGAATTTAATTATATGTTGAATGGAAACTTCCAAGGGAGTGGAAGCTAAGGATGTAGAGCTGACATCTGTGTGTCCAAGTAAACATTTTAGATTAAAATGTAGGGAGAGAATGTCAGAAAAAGAAAATTAATTACACTTTCAAAATATTTCAGAAGAACAAATATTAACATTATTATGTTGAGCTTTTGTTTTAAAATTATGGCTTTGGACCACATAATCAGGGAATGAAGGCCTCTTGTACTACCTGCTGCAATGCAACATCTTTGAGATTAGCATTAAAATGAGCTCGAGAAGAGAAACAACAGATGAGAATACACAGGAGGAGGAATGTGTCATCTTACAAAGTCACAGAGGAGTGTACTTGGTGTTGGGGGTACTGTCTGTAGCCTGCAGGGTGACTGTATAATCAAAGACTGTGCACACTGTCTAGCAAAAACACTTGTTTGAATCACATCTCTGACAGATCAAGTTCCTAATTTTTAAGCTGTTTGCATGCAAACCTCATTTTTTTTTTTTAATCCTGTGTGCCGTGCTAAGGAGCTTCCATCTTACTCTGACACTTGAAGACCAAAGTCCAGCACAGAAGTGTTGTTAACTGTCTCACAGAAGATGGCAGCTGGTGCTGCACTTACTTACTGTTTCCCCTGGATAGCAGAAAGGTCTTTCAACACAAGATTGTTGAAACAAGTTTCCACTGATGTTAGGTCATACTTGTTCCCCTCCTCCTTACAAGACTATGATACAACTCTGGAAATTCCCTTACAGGGTATTTAGTTGGCACATGACAAGTATATCAGAAATTGTTGTTGTTTTAACAGGCATGGTCTTAGCTTAGCTCATCTTGGGCTACTTAACTGTTTTAATCATGTCTTTGAAATTAACAAAACCTGTTTGGTTTTTTTCCTTTAAAACACTGGATTTGCAGTGGTATTGGGAACACTAAAAGCTAGCCATGTTCTGAAGGGCTTTACCATAATTATTTTTTTTAATTACCAAAGAAAAGGCAGACACAGTTGGACAGCTGCTTATCATATACTTGTGATGACTTAAATTTGTGTAAAAAATTCTGGTTTACTAAGTCCATGTAAGTAAGCATCATTTTAGTCCTGCAGTAAATTAGTAAACACTTTGAACTCGGAAGATTTCTACTGAAAATTCCATTTGTATCTAACTGCTGCCAGGGCAGATACATTCAATTTACCCACAAGGTGCAGTCTAGCTCCATGGTTTTACTTACTGTTACTGAGCACCTTATTGTCATGTCACAAGACCTGCAGTTTATACAGCCTTTTCATCCCCTGCAGGATGGAAGGAGGTTTTTTCCAGCAGATGGCTGGGGGTTGGTTAGTTTGGTTTTAAACTGAATAATCTGTACAGATCTTTTGTCAGATTCACCAATAATACCTTTTTTTTTTTTTAAACCAGAAGACAGTATAAATAGGAATATTCATGAAAGAACAAGATAAAACAGAACTGTTTTTTACCTGGAGTATCTGCATGTAATGTGCGGGGTAGAGGGAATCTTTATTTGGAATTGCAAATCAGAATACTCTGTGGATAAAACCATTACTTTAAATGAAAGAAGTGTGTGTCAGAGTGAAAATGTATTGTCAAGAGAAACTTAAGTTTCAATTCTTTATCTTCAGTGTTCACCATGGCCTGATACTCCTACAACATTTGTAAACAACAATCCTACTCCTGCTCCAACTTTTACCTCTGCTCAGCATAATACCTACAGTGTCCCAGACAGGTGGGTTTCTATTCTGTACCCCGATTGAAGAGAACATTTTAAAACTGGGCTTATTCAAAAGTGTCTTCTGAGTAAATGCAACTGTGTTCTGGTTCCAGGGGGGAATGAGAGATTGTTTTGCACTAAATAATCATTTTAGAGTATGACATTTGGTTCAATTATAAGGTAATTACTTCTGCTTCACCATTTTCCTTTCTTACTATGCATTTTTGAAAACAGCTTCTTTGTCATACAGCAAACACTTTACCTTTTAACTATTCTAAATTAGTCCTTGTCTATGGAACTATTTTTAGCTTTCTTCAGTAAGAACAGTCTTTCTTCTCCTCATACACAGTTAATGTAATTGGCAAGAAAAAAAAGCAACAATTATTGTCACAAGCTTTTCAACAAAAATTGCATTGGTATAAAAACATTTGGTAGTGATGTGTTAATTAAACTACTGTAATCAAACTTGCATTTGATCGAAATACTTTTTACAGTGGTATTGTCTCCTCTGTGTACTGGTTGGTGTCTGCCTTGTATTTTACTGCTTCTCCCTGGGTCACTCTTTAAGACAGTTAAGTGGTCATGTAACATCCCTCAAGTGCTGGTAAAGCTGCTTCTCCAGCTGATAAAGGATATACGAAATAGGAAACAGATCAATTCCATATTGAAGTGGGATGATCTTTCTCTTGAGTTTAGCAAGTTTCAGTCTGTGTTGTGAAATTTATTGTTTTGGGAATTTAAAATTATTTTTTAGTGATGAGATATTTTTGGTTTATAAAATTGTAGTAATACTTTTTTTTTTTTTTTTTAATCTGTAGCAATTCTTCCTCCCCAAATCATCAAGGAGATGGAACCTCTCAAGGGTCAGGAGATGTGAGTGTTTGCTTTCTGGTGTTGACCATGGCTATGTTTTTATAGTTGTGTCAGGACATTTGATTTATACTTGATATTAATAGGTACTGAGGAAGGGTTTGAGGAATATTTTTAATGGCTTGGGTTTTTTTTGTTTTAGTATTCAAATTATCATATCTCATGATATTTTTAATGGCTTGGGGTTTGGGGTTTTTTTAGTATTCAAATTATCATATCTCATCTTGTTTCTTACAGCAGCTTCATCCTTCAGCCACAATCCAGGAAACTCAGCAATGGTTGCTCAAGAATAGGTTCTCTGCCTATACAAGGCTTTTTTCAAATTTCTCAGGTATCTATAGTTCACTTTTTTTTTTCGTTGTTACTGAGCAAGTTCTGTGTGGGAAAATAATTCTCGAAGAACAGTATGGCATAGATACTTGTGAATTTGCTTATTAAATGGCAGTGCAGTTTCCACTGTATGTCTGGGCCCAAGACATGGCAGTGGATGCACCATGTGGGGCTGTGTTTCACTGTTTGCTCCTTTAATCTTGCGTGTAATTGTGCAAAGGGTGGGATGGCACAGTACACACTGTGGGTAAAATTCCTTCTCTGCCTATTGGCTTAGCTCCTGCTTCTGTCACGATTCCCTTTGTACCCTGCTCAAGGGAAGGTTTATTCTTTTGCTACTGGTCACTTTTTGATCTTTGCTTCTCGTAGTAGGGTTGCTAAGCTTTCTCAGTGGATTTTAGTATCGAATTTCTGACAAAGATTCTTGGAAAACTACTCTTCTTTTTTTTGTTATCTTTATAGAAGTCAAGTACTGGCTGGCTGATAGGTTTTTCTTTGAAGCAAGAGGTGTGGTGTATAGAGCTTTTATAATCCTACCTCAGCTGTGGGGGACTTTTTTTATAGTATCTAAGGGCTGTGCTAAATTATTTTTGCTGGCTTTTACCTGTGCATTCCTAGATAGTCTGTGGAGTATTTTCATGACTCAAGACTACCTTATTTTCCTGTTTTCTCACTCACCTATTACAATGCCTGATTTTTCAGACTGTTGTTTTCTTTGTTGGCGCCCATGTTGTTTCTCAGAAGGATCCTTCCTCCCATTTTGTGTTTAGATGTGCTCAGTATCTTTTATTGAAGCTTCCTTTTCTAAAGTAAGCCTTCAGGGAAGCAGTTGTTTTCATGGATCACTCATTCCCAGGGTCATTTTGGAAAAAAAAAAGAAAACCCAAGTTGATTTTGGATGGAAGTATCCCACAACCTGGACTCGCCCCAAGTTGCTGATGTACTGATTTGCCCACACTACTTTAGTTATTCATCTTCTATATCACACCTTTAGTAGCATCCTCTATCCATGAGTGCATTGTCATAACTTAAGTGCACAGAGGATATGCTCTGTGAGTTGAATGCCTGGGATTCAGTGAGGGAGAAACCATCAAATGTCTTTGCCCTGTATTTTACATGTGTTCAAAATACACTGTCCTGGGGTGCCAGCTAAAACTTTTAAGCCATTGTTTGGATATAGAAGTCATCTGTCTCTGCAGAAAACATGTGCCTTGCAGACTCCTGCTGTTGCAAAGGAGTGAACAATATCAAGTGTAGCAAACCACCTTTGGAAAATAGGTTGTTATTATTTAGGTCTCACTAGTTTCCATTCTGAATTTTACTTGCTTATTCCTGTTTGGAGGATTCCAGTTTTATAATGGCAGAGTTTGTTACTCTTGGTTTAAATGAATATACAGTTTATTTTAAAAGAAGTATAGATGCTCTAAAATAATCTTCATTAAATTCTTACGTGTTTCTCCAGGTGCTGATTTATTAAAGCTGACAAGAGAAGATCTGGTACAAATCTGTGGTCCAGCCGATGGAATTCGGCTATACAATGCACTGAAATCCAGGTAATGTGCTGGTTGTGAGGCTGAGGGGGTTTTATTCTGTCATTTACTACACATGGGGGATTCTAGAACTGGGAGATTTGCGAAGTTGATATGAGGATGGGCCTTGATGCCTGTGTGAGCTGCTTCAGGAATTGGCAGCAATGTGTTTTGCCTCCTGTGTGTGTCCTCAGGGCAGGCTCAGGGGAGATGCAGGCACTGAGCAGTTTGAAAGAGGGATGCAAGGCTGGCACCAGTGCAGTTGAGCCCTGTCCACTTCTTGGATACAGATGGATTTGTTGCCAAGACACAAAACTTGTCATTTAGGGGAACTAAGAACAACCTGAGGCTTTTTGAGGTTGCAGGTGTGAGTGCTGACACAGGCAGATCCCAGGTGACATGTCTAACTGAAATGGGCACTTGTAAGAGTTATCGTTACTCAGTAGCTCTGTCCCAGGATTCCAACAAGCAGCATCCTGATGAGCTCTGAGTTGATTGAAATTTTGTTTAAATGCAGTAGGATCTTCGAGGCCACTTACCTGTATATTTATTTCTTTTTGGTCAGTGAAAGAAAACATGTCAAGTGTAGTGTTAGCATAAGGAATCTGCAGTTGTGGCATACTGGTTTCTGTGTTTCCAGGGCACATGGCCTTTTCTCTGACGTGTGATTTCCTTGGATTGCAGGTCTGTTAGGCCCCGTTTAACAATCTATGTCTGCCAGGAGCCATTAAGGGGCATACAACTGGAAAGACAAGATGCAGGCAATGGTGAGAGCAGCAATGGTGCAATATACGGTACGGCGCACAGCGGTGTCTCAGCTAAACATTTCTGTGTCTTCAAAGTCCAAAACAAGATAGATGGGAAGGAAAAAGGAATAGTGAAGGGGCTGAATTTGTTTCTGGCATACAGATAGACCATAGGAAATGGCATTCACAGTAGTATTGCTGCTTTAACACTGCACAGAACCTAAAACTTCTTGGGGTTAAATTATTGGGGTTTTTTTCAGTCCATGGATAAAACTAACTTGTAGTTGCATGGTAATTAATTAAGGAGCTCTTAAATTAGCTGTGCACATTGTTACAGACAAGGTACCAACCAGATAAATGTAGGTGCCTTGTAACAGCTATGTGTAAATAAACCCCTTGAATTCTGTCCCATTTTCTGTTAGGTTTTGCTCTCATTGTCTGTGCAACTCAACTGCAGCTGGTAGAGCATGGACAGGGAGTAACAGCCAAGCCATGCACAGGCTCCCAATTTTAGTAGTATTTTCCTGATAGACAGCTGCTGTTTCAACAAAATGGGAACTTTGACATGAATTGACAAAACAAATATTATCTTAAGAGAATGGAGCTATTTGAAATGATTCTTTTCTTGCCCTTGGCTTTGAGAGAAGAGCTCTCCCTCCCCAGCTGAAATCTGTACAGCTGCTACTGCAGTAGTGCTTGTGTATTTTCCATGCAAGACTTGAGGCGGAGGAGGATCTGTAAATAGGAGACTGCCACTGTCAAATACATGTTTTCCCTCTGGAGATCATCAGTCTTTGGTTTGGGATAGAAGAATGTGGAAATACAGAGCTGCCAAGGGCTTCCAGCACTATTAAATAAAGCTATAGGACTGTAAATGCAGCACCAAACCGAGTGGCTGCTTTGTTTTACTGTTGTTTGCTTTCTGTGTTGTATTTCCCCCCACTGCCCTTCAGCTCTCAGGTGATCACTAGGAAGTTTATTCAGACAGCTGCAAAGGGTTTTCTTTACCAAAAACCAAAGTCTACATCCCTGTTTAAAGCACCAGTTTTGGGTGACTCTCTAAAAACCCATTTTTAAGTCTGCTTGACATGACTGCCTTTTTGTGCAGGATACAGGAAAAAATGTGGAAGCTGCCTTCAGTCTCAGGGCAAATAGAAGCCTCCTCCTTGTTAGAGTTTGTGCTTATGGCCTTACCTTGAAAGACAGACAAGTCAGGGCAGTTCATGCTTCTTAGCTGAGAACAAGGGGAGAGTAAACTAAAAGTTTATAAATTGTTTTAAAGCCCAGGGTATAAATAAATTAGGGTTTTTTTTTCATGTAAGTACCTGTTAGCCATTAGTCCTGTGCTTATGTAACTGATTCTGTTTTGTTGTAGTTTATCATGCAATCTACTTAGAGGAAATGGCAGCCTCAGAAGTCACACGCAAGCTTGCTTTGGCATTCAATATTCCTTTGCATCAGATCAACCAGGTTTACAGACAGGGTCCCACAGGCATCCACATTCTCGTTAGTGATCAGGTAATGGAAATTTTCTTGATGCTTTATTTATAAATTAGAGTGGAGGATTCTCTGCTTGCTTCTTTAGTACTGGGGTTTTTTCTGTTTGATAATGCAACCTATTATTTTCTGACACTTATTTTTCCTTTTACATTAAAATAAGCAGAAGAATCCTGTAAATGTCTCTCTTCTTTGACCTGACTCAGTTGAAACTGTGAGAACTGGTCTATGTAGTTCTGAGGTGCTGCAGTAATTACTTAGTATGTGTTTATTTTGAACATGCCCAAAGGCAGGGAGCATTTAAATAGTGCTGAACTCAGCTTATTCAAGTGTCTGCTACACATACTCAAGAGTTTCAAAACTACAGCCAGCACTAATAGGCTCCCAACTGGTTGTCACGTGAGTAACAAGCAGTATTTTGACAGTTTTAATTTGGTGTATGTCTGTCACTTGCTGAACAAAATCAGAGATATGGAATTGCATATAAAAGGTTGTTTAGTATCTGGTGAATGACTTATTTTTTTATTTTTGCCTTGGTCTTACTCAGGAGGGTTTTGAAACTTTTTTTTTTGTAGATGGTTCAAAACTTTCAAGATGAGAGTTGTTTCTTATTCACCACAATAAAAGGTACGTTGTCTTTGCTGACAGTCTAAAACTTAAATGTTTGTTCTACCAAGGAGCCTTATTTAGAGAAAGGAAACTAAAAAAGGGTCTGCATACATAGTGGCAGAAAACATCCCTGAGTTCCTCCTCTCCTAGCCAGAGCTTTCAGCCTCTTGTAGCAGCTCAGTTTTTTCTCCAAGCTTTCAGTCCAGAACCCCTGCAGCATTTGGTAACAAACCTCATTTAAAATTCAGTCAGCGATCACTGGGCAGTGTTTGCTGCTAGTAATTGTGAGAATGGTGAAGTTTCAGAATATTTAAAAAATACTAAGAACTAAGTAGAACCTCTGAAGTGCAGAAACTGAATGTTAACTGAGTCCTGATAGCAGAACTGCATGCAACATTCTGTCCTGTCATTGTAGTCAATAATCGCCTTCAGTCGGTTGTTGCTGAATCCCACCCTTCCTTAGGAATCCAGTTACAAATTGTTCATTGTAATATTTTTGTTCAGCACAAGTAGGAAGTTTTTAAAAACTGTTTCTGCTGTAGATGAGATGTTTTGAAAGTCTGCTTCACTTTATCAGCATCAGCTAATTGTTCTGTGCAGTATGAAAATGTGCTTAGTGATGGTCAGAGACCTCAGCTGGCAGTACTGCCAACTTCCAAGCATAAAATCCACTGCTGGGTTTTGGGTTAACACTGCTTCTGTTTAGCTTTCTAGTCCAAGGCTGCACATCACAAAACAGAAGATTAAAACACAGGAAAGTTTATATTCTTTCTGTGATACTGACTGTCACTGCAAACCAAAGAGATTTTCACGTTATTCTTCAAGTGTTTAGCCTGAACATCAAGTTACTGACACTGCACATGTTTCAGTTTAGTAGTAATGAACCATTTCAATGCAGTAAAAAACAAGTCCATGCTTGGGTGTTTTGGTGCATTGGCTCTTACTTTTATGAGCAAAACTGACATTTTCTTCTTTTTTAGCTGAAAATGGTGAAGGCTTCCACATAATTCTGAAGTGACATCACACAATTGCTAGACTGATACTCCAACGCAGAATGAAGTCCTGCCTAAAGACTATGAAGATCATCCAAAACCTTAGGATCTAACTTCACTGTATAAGATGTTTCATATTGAAAACACAAAATGACCTTTCTAATGAGCTGTTTGATAGGTGAACTTTCTTATCACTGCCATAGCTAAGTGTCCTCATGAGAGGTATAATGCCATGACAGCTTACGTACAGGCATGGAAGACAATGTAAGCAAAGGTGCTTGCCCTTTCCTGAAATAAGGCAAATTATGGCCAGTAGATACAGTCCATAGAAGTGAAGCAGCATTGCTTTTCTGTCCTCTGTATCCAGTTGGAGATGAATGTAAACTTATTTTGGGGCATTTACCTTTCTGTGCCAGTTTGTCTACTACGTGCTTGTACCTTACGCTGGGTTTATTTTTTTGATGTTAGCAGAGCACATGCTAATCTGTGTGGAGATGAGTAGTTAAGGTGATAGTGATCAGATTGTCAGGTCTTTGAGAGTAAAGCTGTCAAAACAGCTTCCCGTGTAAATTGTGTATAAGAGTGTATGTAAGAAGTGTAAATGCCAGAATAGGGCTTTTAAGAAGCCCTAGACAGATGCAATATATGCATGCAGCAAACTGCATTATCAATAGTACCTTATTGGAGGGATTAATATAAATCCTAAGGGGTACCAAGTAATTGTGTTTTGCTTTAACGAATTTAATGGAAAAGAATTGCCTATGCATCCTTTATGTTTAGTTTCCTAGGTTCTCTGCGGAGCACTGCTGCAGTTTAACTCTTTGCTTGTTAACTTGTGGGTTTAAAAATACTCTAGCAGTGAGTGAGAGGTGGGGTTCTGGACTTAGTGGAATTCTGCTGATGAGGGAGGATGACCCACTGGCACCACAGGGCTGTCGTAGCTTTCAGCAACAGCGAATGAATTGCTTAAGAAACACTAAATACACCCCCTGTAAGTCTCCTTTCCTGCAGGTGAATTCCCTGCTGGAGTTGCTGTTTTATGGACAAATCTCTTACCTGTTCCATTGCCCTTTCTCAGCCCTCTGATCCATACTGTGTACACCTGCTACAGTGCCTCTTCCATATGACCAAATTGTTACTTTTCTTTGAATCAGGCAATGTGCTTTCTTGGTATGTTGGATCTCTCTTGTAAAGTCACGGCACAGCATTTCCTAGGGTAACATTAAGTTTCAACTGGTTAGGTACTTAGAGGGGAATATTGCCAAAGGTATGAGGTGACAGTTTCAGAGCTGTCATTCTGTGCCTTTGGAAACTTCCACCTTGATCTCTGGTTTAAAATCTTGGGAATAGTTGGCTTTTTAGTGCTGCGGTGTTCCACGTAAGCAGCTACTACAGCATGTAAAAAAGCAACTTGGATTTTTTTTCATTTCCCCTTCCATAACTGGCTCCAGTGCTTAGCAGAAAAGCTTCTTAAAGCTGTAGCATTTTGAAAATTTGAATTCATCAAACCTAGAGGTTTTCTCCTATTTTTGGTTGTTTGGTTTTGGTTTTTTTCTGCACTGAAAGTAAAATTTTATGTACTTAAACATTTCTGCCTATAACTTCTTCATCTTTGGGTATTGTTTGGTCCTAGTATTTTCCTGAACTGACACTCGTGTCTTTTCAGCTCACACCATATTCAAATCCAAGTGTTTTATAAAAGTGGAAAAATCCTTGATTGGAAAGTATCCAAATATCTAATTTTAAAGAATATTGAAAGTTGTACAGTAGTTTGTCCAGCTCACTTGAAATTGGAATTAAATTATGGCACCAGCAAATTGCTTTTGTTTTTTAATAAGATGTACACATTTCAATTTAAGTATAATAAATGTTTTTCAATAATTTTGTAAATGTGCTTTTCTTTCTGTTGACTTTTTTTTCCCCTCACACACTTTAGAGATACTTCTGTTGCTAAGATTCAGGTTATTGCAAGACCTGCCCTGGCAATTCAGGTAGGTAAGGGGAAGGAGGGGAAGCAGATCAGCTCAGGCATGTATCCTGCACCCGATGCACTCACACGGATCTTCTGCTTCCAGGAGAAATTAAGGTTAGATTTGAAATAATTGCAAGTTCAAGTTTGACATCAGCTGATTGTTTATTGAAGTGTCCTATATCAGAGTAGGTTCCATTTGGTTTTGTACATCTTTAATGCAATAGACTTACAAGGTTTCATTATGTTCTTAGAAAAAAAATGAGCCAACAAAAGGCAACACATCTTGACATATTGGTACCAATGACTTTCCTGGTACAGTTGAGAATAAAATCTGCTTAAAACTCTCTATTACAACAGCAGCATTTTAATGAAACTCTAACTAAGTACGATTGTAACAGCACTCCACAACTGGGCAAGACAAGCCCAGGTTGCCTCACTCTGTAGTAGTAAAGGAATCCATGTACTGTACTCCAAGCTGTAATTTAACCCCAAAGTTGAGGTCTTACTTTACTGTCCCCATTCTGTGTGAATCATGAATACAACTCAGCTGTTGTTATCCATGTCTTGTGTTCATGCTCACTCCTTTTCAGAAGTAGCTTAAAATTTGAGGGGGAAATTGCAGTACTATCTGGCAGTAGCTTTTCCAACTGCTTTTCAAGCCAGTATTTCTATTAGTTTTCAATAAACACAGGCCCTGAACTGTTAAAACATACACACACACAATCAAACTTACACAGAAAAGCTTTCTGAACTGTCGAGTAGTTTCTCTCAGGTAATTAAGTTGCTTATATAAAAAAAGTTTTATCTAATCCTCTAGCACTGAAAAACTAAGGATGAAAGCATGGCCTTAAGAGTCAATACATAGATTTTATCATCATCATTATTGTTATCATTCAGAAGTTGACAACTTCTTAACCCAAACGTGAAGAGTTTGGCTTTCTACATTGGAAAATCACAGGTTTGGTTTGGTTCAACTCCTGCCTACAGCCTGACTTGCCCATGTGCTTGTCCCTAAAACAGGTGGGACAGACAGCCTGAATTCCCTGCCCCATCTTATGTCCTGTAGCTGAACCTGGTTTCCATTCTTCATCTGTAGAAAAGCACGTTAACCACACTCCTCTCCCTAGAGCCACTGATCCTTCCCTTACAGACCACGGAGGTAACTGAGGACACACAGGAATGGCATTACAGTAAGCACCATGTATGGTTGTGGCAGCCAGTTACAGTAGAGTGCACAAGCTCTACCACAGTGGATTTCTCACCCTTCTGCAAGGCTGATGGCATCGGGCATAGACGTGCATCAGTGATGGGCAAGCTTTGCACGAGCAGAGTTCAACTGAATCAAGTCCAAAAACGTGGGAAGGATTTCTATTTATATAGTTATCTTGAGGTACTACCTTACCTTTTGACATTACCTATTATGTCCTGTTATGTAATTAAATACGAAGCTGAATCATGAAAAAAGAATAAGCTGCTGTTTCACTGTAAGAGCTTATGATTACCTTGCTTTTTTTTGGTCAACATCTGCTAAAGCTGATTTGTCCTTAAACCTGATATTGAATCGGTCATGTATATTACAGAACAGCAGGTCCAGTTCCTTGGCTGAGCCCCACGTTACATCAGAGCTTCACACCAAATAGTGCTTACAAATGCAAAGTAACTTCCAAGTTCAGTGAACTTTCACCAAGTAGCTGCTATGCTGCAATGCCCACACGTGTTACACGGTACTGCACTTCTCATGCCAACAGAAGGAAGGAGTTACTAATACAAACCAAAGCATCACCAACTTAATCCACAGCTGCACATTACGTTAAGATTTTTACCTGGAAAAAAAACACTTTTCTTGTCACAAAACTGGATGACCAAACACCACCATTAGGACTGTCAGGAAACCGACTCCTTCTGCTGCCTTGCAGTCCCATTCTTCAACAATAACACAATTTTCTGTGTGGTTGCACTTACTGTCAAAGAATAATACAGCATCTGCAGAGGCGCTGTCCGCTCCCCCCGACCGAAGGAGGGGGAGTTACTGGAGCAAAGTAAGCATGAACTTTCACGTGAGGTAGATGAGCCTGTGGGTGAGAAGTCTGCATTATTATAATGGGAGACAAAGAAACAGAACTGGAAAGAGCAAAGCAAAGAGAAGCAGTACACCTCAACCGCTGCCAAGAAGTACTCTCTGATTAAGGTTGGTTAGCTAAAAGGAAACACTGGATACCAGTCCAGCTGTCTGCTGCTATCTAATTCCTCGTGTCCCATACAGCTAAGGCACACTAATGTCTGGGCACTCAGCTTGCTTAGGGCTCCCACTGATTTCTCAACACAGCACTGATCAGCCCAGACAGCTCCCCATCAGGAGAGGCATGTGTTTTGCTGCAGGGGAGAGAGGGATGGGTGCCTGGTGACTGAAAGAAGACTTGTCTGCACCTTGTCTCCCATATTCTCATCCTGAAAAGCAGCATGAAATAGAATTGGGAATCTGTCCTCAACAGTCACTATCAGGAATGAGCTTTCTAATGCAAAAATGTTTGGACACAAATTTTGGATACAAAGCTGCAGACAAGTCTAACAGCAAGGCTAAAACACTGCCCCCCAAGGCAGACAGTCCCTGACCTAATGGGCAAAGCATGCAGAGAGAAGGGCTGGGGCTGGATTCCAGGGCCTAAGGGCCCTGCAGCCCATTAACTGAAGTATCCACACAGGTGTTCTACCACTGGCTCTATGTATTAGCATTCCTCGTAGGAGAGTTAAAGAATACTACTACACCATCCCAAACACACAGAGGCCTGTATCTGAAAAACTGCAGCAAGCAAAAGGTAAGCTCACATCATTCCGACAGCAAAAGTGTCAGAGGTTATAAACAGACATTGACAATTATTGCTGCTTATACACAGAGGCTACAGGCCCTAGAGGTGAGGACCTAACAGAATGACAGTCAGACTGTTTATCCAGCCTTCCTTGCCTGGGACACCTGTAAGGGCTCATACAATCTCTAGCAGTATCAACAGCTCTGGCATTCCCACGGGAACAAGTCAGTAAACACATACTCTGATCCGTTTGATTCCAGCTCTTGTGACTTGCTGACAGTCATACAGCTCAATTCTCTCCAGGTTGTGGCAGTTCTCCAGGTGTTCCAGAGTCACATCAGTGATGAGAAGACAGTTATCAAGCTCCAGGACCTGCAGCCTCTCATGACCACATGTACTGTTGCTCAGGTGAAGAATCCCATCATCAGTGATCAGTTCACAGTGAGATAAACTCTAAAACAGACAGGCAAACAGTTAACAACATCACTCAGTCCTAAGTTACTTTAGCCTCTGGACATCAGAAGTCCTCTTCAACCTTCTTCATTCCAGTGGTTAAGCAGTTACAAATAGTGTACAGCTGAAATCCAGAAGAATAAAAAAAGAAACAGCTTTATTTAACGGCTGTACTTGATTTTTACTTTGCTTCAAAACAAGTTGAGTCCCAAAACATCACTGGTGAAACTCCTCAGGCCCCTTTGCTCTATGAACATGGGAATTCTGTTCCAATTCTCCCACGCCTCCAATATCAATAGGTGCCAACAGCACTGTGCCAGAAACCAGAGACAGCTTTAAAGAACATAAAAGGAATCGATGAGGATCTACTGACAGGGGTTGCTGATTCACAGCTACCATGTTCTCACATACTACCAGGACCAAGCCTGTGCATGTCCACATAGATAAAGAACTATCAGACTGGACTGATTTGCCAAATAATGATTTCAAAGAAAACCGTGAGCACTTAGCACCTGAGGCTGTACATACAAGGAGCAATAAACATCTCATACTGCTGCACGAGCAGTCTTTCCTACAACACTCAGCATAACCAAAAAAATCTGCTCCTCTTCAGCATATTTTTTTACTCCCTTGAATTTCAAGAACAT